ATGTGTTTGCAAGTCTCAAAACTTGAGCCAAGAACTGAAACAAGAAGGGAACCAGTTCGCATAACCTCAGGTCAGTGCGCCATCTTCTAGCTCAAAGGCAAGGACGGACGCAACAGCAAAGAAACGAGCCTTGGAGGCGTCGACGGGAACTCCACAACCAGTTTCCAAAGTGCCAAGAGTTGCTGGAGAACAAGCTGTTTTGAGCGAGGAAGATTGGGCTGCAGCTGACAAAGCTGTGGCAAACCAGAAGGCCATTGCGGATAAGAAGGCTTCAGTTTTTCGAGCTGCTGCAGCAGGGCAACCTGTGGATTACGTGGATGCGAAAGGTGGCCTGATGCGGCCGAAAGGCGCCCCTCCAGTAGCAGCAGCCAAAATGCCTTCGTTGCCACCTGAGCCTTACCTGTTCTTGGAAGGGGTCAGGAAGAGCGAAGCGAAACAATGCACCCACTTGCCTGAAAAATGGATCCGCACCAAGGAGATCAGGGAGGTGCACTTGGTCTTGGTGAAATCGGTGCCACTCAGCTGGCGAGGGCCAGCGGCTTTGCTGGCGCGAATGGTGGGCGCCAGGCTTATGGACCTTGAAGGCAGGATGACAGCATTCAGAGGTGTTCTGCGCCATTGCCACATGGTACTTTTTGTCACCTCCGGATTTGAAAGCAAGCATCCAGATCACGCCAAAGTTCTCCGTCAACTGGGCCTATTGAGTCCTTTCATGACTGTGAAGCAGAATCAGCAGCGCCGGCGCTTGGAAGTTCATCGCGGCGATGTGCTTACCAGGGTGGAGTGGCCCACACTTACACATGTCTTGGTGGCAGAAGCCGATGCAAAACCCCTCCGATGTCAGGATCTGGATGGAAAGGATGTCAAAGTCAAATGTTTGGATTTGACAGAATTTTTGCACTTGTGTTCCAACTGCTATGAGCCGGCCTAGCTTCTTAGATTCCCACCTCCTTTGTTCCACCAACGTTGGAGCATGAGGCAGCGAGGGCTGCCTTGCAGTGCAGTGTGGGGCATGCTTCAGAGCACGTGCCGCAAGCGGAAAAGCATGATTTGACATATGGGTGCGGGAATGGTTCAAAGCATGATTTGACATATTTGCGTGTGGGAGTGATTGGCAATATGTTTGAACGCAGAGAAAGACAATGCTTCGTGTTTTTTTCCAGGGAGAAACATGTCTGTTGAGGAAATTGCTTTCAGCCATAGGTTGCAATGCGTGTTCGTTCACTCTCGTGAATTTTAGGCTTCCAGTAGGCAGCGAGGCAGGCATTGGCAGAATGGGAAAAAAAACCAACGAAGAACTCGGCTTAAACCGGCCACCCAATGCTTTTTCTTTGTGGTGTGGTTTTGTAAGCACTACGGGAGTGAAACTTCCTGTGCGTGTCCGGCTGCGTAAAAAACCTTGGTGAACAGCAAGGGCCAAATTTCTAGTCGATGGCATGGCATGAGCACGAGAGAGAAAGAGCCTTTCTTCCGGGCTGCCCAGACACAGGTTGCAGCGAATGAGAAGTGCCGGCTTGCTGCACGCTTGCCTATAGCTCGGTCTGTGGCCAATGAGCCCGGGTTGGAAACCTAATGTTTTTTTTTCGGCCAGATTTGAAAGCTTTTCTACAGAATAGCCGCATCATCATGTAAACTCATTTTGGTGGACAGTTTTTCAGGGCAAGTACTATTTGGGTTCATTGCTACAGCCTGGAGGAGGATGCGGCTCCAACTGCTTCACTTCCTCTGGCGATCTTCGAGTGGCAAGGTGGCCAACTTTAGTGCGAAGAACGAATAGGGCAAGGAACCTATGGCCAGGTTTTTGCAGCGCGGGAGAAGTGCTCTTCCCGACTCTATGCGTTGAAGATTGCTCAGTCTCGCCACGAGCATGTGTCTACGCTGGGTGATCTCGCTCATGAGTTTGAAGTTCTTCAGCATTTAGGGTCCCATGCTCACGTGGTTCCTTGCCTCGGACTGTTGCCTTCCAGCAGCCAGAAGGCGCCTGTCTTCATTGCGTGCTTGTTTTGACACGCTTGCGCACCGCTTCTTCCCGAAAACTGGTCATTGTTTTCACGCATGTTTGAACAGAGTTCTTGTGTCAGACAGCTGGCTGGGAGTAACGGAGACACCAGGGAAGGGATAGAAGATCAGAGAAGAGAAAAAGCGAGAAGAAAGACGATGCAGGTGCGCGAAATTTGTGGCTCCGGAGGGTCGATAAGTAGGCTCGCTAACGCGGCGGGTGCGGAGCCAGTTGGCCAGATGGGAGATGAAAAAAATCACGCCATTGTGGTGCCAAGCACATGTCCAAGTCAAAATGTGCAAAAAGCACGCCATTCTCGGACCACTTGGAAGTTGAGATGTCGAAAGAGTCTCAAAAGTGCTTAAATTTGTGTCCCAACTTGAATTTTCAGGAAAGCAACTTTTTTTTCCTACTTAAGAACCTTATCCCAAAGTTTTTTTGTTCGGCGGACTTTGCAGTTTCAAAAACCAAACATCCCAAACCATGCCACGCGAAAATGCTTTGGACCTGAGGATATCCAGCTTAGAGTATCCCTACTCAGCCATAAACATCTTGAAGATTCAATGTCCCAAACTGCATGGGCCATTGATTTTGCATTTTCATCGGACACCTGAGCTGCCATAGTTTTAAAAGCAATTTGTATGTATTGAATTTCATGTGAGAGTCATGCAATGTTTCTCCAGAAAGCATATCACTTGGATGCAGTGAGTTCACAGGCATTTGAATTTATATCCCATGTCGTTCATTAGACGGCTTTACCCGTCGCGCGCCTTTATCCACACAGCATCAAAATACATTTTCTATGCATTCTTCTCGCAGCTATAAGTCGTTCTGGATTTGTTTACCAAGCTTACAGCTCGTCGCTCAAGAAAGCAAGACTTTTCAGTATCTTCAAAGCATCTCTGCACGAGGGATTTTAGACCCACAAGGTCTGACCTTGCGCAGGCCATTGACTGTTTGGGATGTTACCAGAGGGGATTTTTATGTTCTTGCAGAAGCTGTGGTCTTACAGCCAGCAGTTTTCACCAGCCTCTCTTGTTTGGGTGATTGGGAAGAAGTTTCTGGCAACTTTGCTTACCAGACTTCCACAAAATGTTTCCAGCTTCCATTTGTTTTCCACCCAAGAAGGGTTTGAAGTTTCCACGGGCTGTTTTCGAAAACGAGATTATATATCTATATATATATATCTATATACATATATATGTATATATATATATATATCGCATGGTGTACCTTGGTTTATGGCGAAATGTTTGTTTATCCAAACTTCGCACCCATCCATGATTTCGGGGAAGTGCCAGGACATGGGCTTGCTTTTGCCTTTGGCCAGCTGCTCTCTTCACGAATACCTGAATGGCTGCCCGTTGATGATCTCCAGCCCAGAGAATGCCTTGGAGAACCGATGCCGTTTAGCAGTGCAAATTTTTATGGGGCTGCAATTCATCCATGCCAAGCAAGTTGTACATTTAGATTTGAAAGCCTCAAATGTCTTGCTTGTTTTAGACAGCCAAAGCAAGAACGGCCCACCTCTAGCCTGGCTTGCTGACTTCGGCCTCAGCCAACAGATGCCAGGCCACGTCTTTGGACATTTGGTTTGCAGCAAGCCATATCGGCCGGTTGAATGTCATTGCTCCGGCCGTGAGAAGATGAAATTGACCCCTGCACTGGATATCTTTTCACTTGGGTGTTTGCTGTTTGAACTTATTCAAACTGGCCCTCACAGGTTCCTCTTTCCTTCTGCGGAAGACATGTTTCATGGCTTGCCTTTGCCCGTGGCGCAGCAAAAGGCTGCAGACCACGTTGCCCACAAGTTGAGATTTCTTGACCCGGCCGGCGCCGAGACCATCAAGCTGTGCACGGCACCGGTCCGGGCACGGGGGGAGTTGGAGTCTGCCAGGCGGCTCTGGCTTACTCAGCGCTGCTTGCGTTGAAGGGGAAGCAGCACCAATAGCTGCAACGGGTCAAATACAGAAGGGCAAGGGTCGGTAGGTGAGCTTCTGTGTGCATCTTTAGGTGACAAGTAGCGATACCTCAGCTTCCGTGCAATGCCTTGTACACATGACCAAAGCATAGGATTCGTTTGTGACATGCTTCTGCGACAAGTCCAGGAATCCATATTGCTGCAGCCTTTGCAGAGCTTCAGTTGCGCCTATGGCCCCAAAACCAAAGGCCGTCAGAAAAGGAACGTTGAAAAGACCGGCGTCTAAACTTAGCCCCAAGAGCCATGATGCCCGCGTAGATGTGGCAACCTTGTCTGCAGAGAAGTTTTCCTTGACAGATTTCATCCGCGCCACATGGAATTTGAATGGATTGGCTCCCTCCAGCACGTGCAAGAGAGCCTTGACAGTTTCCAGCTGCTGTACTGGTGTCAACTCCTTCGGCTACGTTCTCAAAAAGATGGTGCATTGCCTGGGCCAGCAGGTCAAGCTCAAGGATTTGTTCGGCTCGGAATGCGACAAGGCTTGCCAAGCTTTTTTGCTCAGGAACAATCGCGCACCGCGATGCCTCTTTGAAGCTCCTTGGCCAAAACGCTCACAAAAAGAACATGTTCACCAAGTTTGTGGCCTCTGTTGAATCCATTTTAGTTTCAAGCTTTGGGCAGTGAAGCCATTCCCAGGATGCATCAGATGTAAGCACCTGCAAGCAAGCTGCTTGCGCAGTGCATGCGAGAATGTGCGTTGTGCCCTCTTCAGTTGCTGGTGGTGAAGATGACCTTTACCAAAGCTCTTTTGTGTGTCATTGGAATTCCATTCAAAATCCCAAGAGGTTTCAGCACGATGTCACACAGATTGCTCAGCCAACCTGGGAAGCAACCCGAGCGGATATCGCTGCTCGAAGACCACTTTATGCTCTTTTGGAGAACGTTACCGGTCTTCAGCGCGATCCTGAGTCAGGCTTACGATTTTCAACGTTTTGCTAAATGGTTCGCCCGCCGCAGTGCAATTTCGAAGATTTGCAGTGACATGTGTTTTTTGATTAGAGACCCAGGCTTGCTGCTGGTGGAGGGAACGGTGAGCCAGCTTTGAACCATTGCTTGCAGCAGCTGCGAGAGATCCCTGGGTACACTGTGCACTCTTGTGAAGCCACTGCCCACCCCTTGCCAGCCGACAGGACAAGGATTTTGAAACTGCTGCCTTTTTCCTTCGGTGTTTCCAGTTTTTCCTCTTTTTGTTCTTTGTTGGAGACGCGCGCCACGGCCCTGAACTTCCAGGAACCGTTGCTTGATCTTCTTGAGTCGCAGCGAGCAACACCCAGCAGAAGTCCTTTTCCAGGAATTTGAATCACTGCAGTCCTCTGTGAAGCTCAACATGCGCAGGCATCATCTGGACACCTGTTTGGTAGCACATGCCTCTGCAACCAGCCAGCAAGAAGGTGGTTCAAATCCCTTAGAAACGACTGCATCCGATGACGCTCAAGATGCAGCTGCCTACTTTCAATATTTCAGCAGTGGATTGGAGAAGGCTTTCAAGAAGGGTCGCTTGCCACCTGGCTTCAAAGTTGTTCCAAGAGAAGAACGTCCGTCGTGCAAGCACATCGCCCTTCAGAAGAAGTCAGCATGGTGCAGGGCACAGGCAGACGTCTATTTCTTCATCGGCCAGTTTTTAGCTCAGCAAGAGCAGGTGGAGGACGCGTACGTGTTTAAAAGCTTTTGTTTCAGTTTCGGTAGAGACATTTTTTGGTTGCGTATTAAATTGCCAGATATAGAAATATTTGTACATGTCGCCAGAAGCCAAGAGTTCACAACACTCTTTGCCGATCTTGGCGTTTCAGCTGGCTTTTGGAGTCGTTGCATTTTTTTTGGCTTAGCACCATTGTCTCGTTTTTATTCATATTTGTCAGGATTCTCGGAGCATGGTGGCAGACATTTCGCAGTCCGCCGACAGGGGCAAACTTTGTCTCCGTGGAACTCTCCCTACCTGCACAACCTCGTCAACTTTGTACCACTACAGACTTGAACGTTTTATTTCTGCTCCCGAGTTGTTTGTAGCTCACGGATACCCTGGCCAGACCTGTTGGGAAGGCTTGAGCGAAGGAGATCAAAGGCGCATAGTAGGCAACCTCATGTCCTCTACCACTTTGGTTTTAGCCCTCTGCCCATTCCTGAAAGCATTGGGCGCCCTCCGTTCTTCAGCCTAGAAGGATTCAAGGCTCTGCAGGCTTGACGGTGGAAAACGCAACCGAATTTAGTTAGTTCATGGTTTTCCTGGTGGGTTGCAGCTCGAGCAGCGTCACGTCGGACGTAGGTCTGCCACGGCATTTTCGACTTTCCAGCTCACATGCCACATTGAATGCCATTCTTGTTCCATGGCTCAAGGATTAACTTGGACTTGCGACCAGTCAAGTGTTTCACATGCTGTGCTTAGGATGAATGCTAAGGCGTTCTGGCGAGAACGCGTCAAGGCAGCAATTGGTGCTGACCCGGCTTGCCCACGCCGGGTTGTCTCTTGCTTCGGTACCATAGATCCGGTGCTTTGCTTGAAGACTTCTGCAGGTTTGGACAGTGATTTCTCCACCGCAGGTGTTTCCTATGAAGGAGGGCTGCGCAAAGCGGCAGCTGACTACTGCCAGGCTGCCTTGCGAGTGCGGTACATGGATGGCAGCAAGACTAGATTTCAAAGCTTCTGCTCCAAGGTGCCGAAGCCTTTCATTTTGATTGGAGCCGTAGAACACGTGAAGAAATTGGAACGTCTCAAGGAAGCTATGCCCAGCTCTATGCCTGATGTCATTGTCCTGGACATTTCTTTCCAAAGCGGAAAGGATGAGGAACGCGTGGCAGATGCATTCACCTCGGCTTTCCCTAGCTTCCAGGTAGCTTTCCTTCGAACATACAGTTTCGATGCCTTTGGTTTACCATGCTCTGGCCAACGTATGTTACTAGCAGCCGCAGCAGCAGCCTGTTCAAAAGTGGAAGGAATGAATGAGTTTTGGGCGTCTTCTTTGGACGCCTGGAGCAAGCTGCCTGACTTTGGAGTCTCAATCGAAAAGTGCCTATTCTCTTCAGAAGATCCCCAGCGTCTTTACGAACAGAAGCAGAGCAGAGAGGTGACGTTGAAGAGACGTGGCCCTGGCGGCTCCGATCCAGGCGGCAAGAGAGCCAAACACGGCACAGAGAGTGTTTCGGAGACACAGCCTGCACCTGGTGCTTCAGGTCATCCCAAAGACGAGAGAGCTGAGCTTTTCACAGGAGCTGTGTTGCACAAATTGCTTCCAGAGGGTGCCACTACGTCGCCAATCAAAGACACTGCCCTGCATGAAGTTCATGGCGCTATTCTCGCGCACCGATACCAACACAGTCAACACGCGAGCCGCAGCTTTCTCTTGGCGGACTCTGGTTCGAAAAAGTGGAAGGGTCACCAAGTGGTTGAGGGAAAGCTGCCAGACGTCAAGCCTTCATCGGACGTTCTTTGCTTCAATGGTGACGCTTGCCGTCCTTTGTGCCTGTCAGAGGTGTTGCGTTGCAAAGGCTATAGTGGCCTGAGCTTGAACTTGCTGAGCCCGGCAGCTGCTAAATCAGCAGTGGCCGAAGTGACTCCTTCTCCGGTCGTCATATTAATGTTGCTCATGGCCATTAACATGGCTAGCAGGACTCCAAAAGCTTGACCTTTTCACGATGACGAGGGCGCAGCATGCAGCATGTCCAAAAATCATTTCTCGCTTGTTTTGATGCAGGCCTTTGCTTGGAACTCTTTCCCTTGCGTGCAAGTTCGTTCCTTGGTATGCGCCTTCCAGAGATCCCGGCAGGCCATTGGCAGATTGCAGATTTCGTACAGCCTCAGGCCGGATGTAGCAGGTGAGTTGGTGCAGTTTGTGTTGAACATAGCCTTTCTTTCTTACAGTAAGAAAACGTTGAGGGATTGCAGAACAACTTTGAAGGCTCTCCAAAAAAAATGAGTCTCTCAGAGTTTACCTTTAAAAGTAAACTCTGAGCAAAGGATTTCTTCATGTAGAAGTGACATTTGGCCATGGGCCTTGCTCAGAGTTTCATGTCCAAATGTTGCTTCTACAGCTAAAAAGCTTCTCCTCAGAGTTTACCGTCAAAGGTAAACTCTGAGCATCCTGTTTTTTTTTACTGCTTCTCAGAGTTGTTCAATTTGCCTCGAAACTCTGAGGTCCAAAACCTGCTCCTCAGAGTTTACTGTCAAAGGTAAACTCTGAGCAATCTCTTTTCTCTTTTGTTCCAAAACCTCGGAGTTTACCGTCAAAGGTAAACTCTGAGCAGCCTTTTTTTCTCTTTTGCTCTAAATTCTACTTTTCAGAGTTTACCGTCAAAGGTAAAAAACGAGCAGCCTTTTTTTCTCTTTTGCTCCGAATTTTACTCTTCAGAGTTCACCGTCAAAGGTAAACTCTGAGCAGCCTTTCTTTCTTTTGTTCCGAATGTTACTCTTCAGAGTTTACCGTCAAAGGTAAACTCCGAGCAGCCTCTTTTCTCTTTTGCTCCAAATCTTACTCCTCAGAGTTTACCGTCAAACGTAAACTCCAAGCAGCCTCTTTTCTCTTTTGCTCCGAGACCTCCTACTCAGAGTTTACCGTCAAAGGTAAACTCTGAGCAGCTTTTTGTCTTCTGCTCCAAGTTTACCGTCAAAGGTAAACTCTGAGCAATCTCCTTTCTCTTTTGCACCAAAACCAACTCTTCAGAGTTTACCGTAAAAGGTAAACTCTGAGCAGCCTTTTCTCTTTTGCTCCAAATCTTACTCCTCAGAGTTTACCGTCAAACGTAAACTCCAAGCAGACTCTTTTCTCTTTTGCTCCGAGACCTCCTACTCAGAGTTTACCGTCAAAGGTAAACTCTGAGCAGCTTTTTGTCTTCTGCTCCAAGTTTACCGTCAAAGGTAAACTCTGAGCAATCTCCTTTCTCTTTTGCACCAAAACCGACTCCTCAGAGTTTATTGTCAAAGGCAAACTTTGAGCAGCCTTTTGTCTTTTGCTCCAAATCTCATTCCTGTCAACGGTAAACTCTGAGCAGTTTTTTTCCTTTTGCTCCAAACCTTACTCCTCAGAGTTTACTGTCAAAGGTAAAGTCTGAGCAGCCTTCTGTCTTTTGCTCCAATTCTTACTCCTCAGAGTTTACCGTCAAAGGTAAACTCTCTCTTTTGCTCCAAATCTTACTCCTCAGAGCTTACCGTCAAAGGTAAACTCTGAGCAGCCTTTTTTCTCTTTTGCTTCAAATTTTACTCCTGAGAGTTTACCGACAGCCTCTTTTCTCTTTTGCTCCGAATTCTACTCCTCAGAGTTTACTTCAGCCTTTTTTCTCTTTTGCCCCGAATTTTACTTGTCAGAAATTACCGTCAAAGGTAAACTCTGAGCAGTTTTTTCTTTTGCTCCAAACCTCACTCCTCGGAGTTATTTTGATCCTGTGGGTTGCTTGCTGTCTAGCTGTCCCGGGCCCTATGAGTATAGTCAATACTCACTTGGGGCTTGCAGACATTTTCTAAGGAGGGCGTGTTGTGCGGTGGGTGTGTCTACAGAGTGCACGCACGTACGGATTCAATGCAACAGGGCAAGACCTTTTTAGAGTGTGACAGTGGCCGCGTTCAACGCAATGTTTTTTCCCTCTTCTGTTGCATATGGGTGCAAATGCCCTGCTGTAGGTGTAAAACTAAATTGGTCAGGCTGCGTATAGACTAAACTCCGCTCAACAGACGCGTTCTTGGCTTAAAAAGCGCCTGTTTGCTTACCTCCCTTTGATTTAAAAGCGCCTGCTCGCTTGAATCCGTGTTTTCTGTCAGTGGGGTGAAATAGTGGCTCGGAGCTGTGGGAGTGGATTGCATGGCTTCTTTTCGATGTTGCTGGCTTTGACCTACGCTCTTGCAGGATGTTTCTTCAATATCGTATAGGGTCTTGTTTGACCTTGGGTCCTCGTCAGCGTGCATGTGCGGGCGTTTGGTGCAGACTGTTCGCTGGGATGCGTTGCTGTGCTTCTCATTTTTAACCACGCGTAAGTTCCATGCAGTTGCTTTCATGGTGAATTCTGCAAGGAAGTCATGGTTGTGCTGGCATGTAGAGAATCGCTCCTGATTTCCCTTCGTGTGATCTTGGCACAGATTCTATGGCGATCTTATCTCAAATTCAAGATTCAAGATATAGATTGTGTAAGAGACATGGAGCACTGTGATTGTTGCTGTGTTCGGTGCTTCTCGCAACCCTGATCGCGGCAGGCTTGGGATACATTTCAGCAGCTGTGTGTCGCAGGCAGAAGCAGTGATCAAGCTTAGTCACGGAAAAAGAAGATTAGCTGTCAACTGTTTTGACAAGTTGATGCTATTGATTCTCATTGCAGGATGCGGAAAGCCATCCGCACCTTAAGCTTGGGCGTTTTTGTTGGTTCAAATCTCAAAGGTTCTCGGACCGTCTGCGTTTTTTCTTTCACGGTCGGCTGACCAACATGCCGACTTCGACCAGACTGACTGGCAAGAAGGCGGAACCCAAAGCCAAACGCCAGAAGACAGATAGCAAGACAGAGAATGAGTTGGCTGCTGAGCTTGCAGACCACCCGGCAATCCAAGAAATCAAGATGTGGACAGATGTTCTTGCGGAAGAGCTTAAGGCCAGACTTTTCCGGGACAGAGTCAGAGTCGAAGGTATATTTTCTCCTTCTGTGCCTGTCAGACTGAAACGGTTGATTAGGTGCACGGTTTCTATTTTCAACTGCTCTGTCGAGCATGTTTGACTCAATTGGTGCCAGGCAGCTTCTTCGGCTGGGCCTCTCGACAGTTGGGGCGGAATCTACAGCTTTGACCTGAGTGAGTACAAGTCCCAGATGAAAGCATCTGGAGCCTACGAATGCCTGTCCATCGACATCTGCACATTTGCACACAGGACATTGCCACCCTCCATAGGCGCGGAGCATATATAGTATAGCCATGAGTTGCTCTTTCCCTATCACGCAACGGTCTCTAGAATTTAGCATAGTTATTTTTTCGTCTTCCTCCTCCTCCTCGCCCACCTTCTCCTTGTCCTCCTCGTCCTTCCTCCACTGCGAGCTTCGGCTGTCAGTGAGCGGCTACCGGACATTAACCGCGGGCGCCAGATTTTAGACCTCAATCTGAGTGGCACTGCCGGACCTCAACTGCTGGGCAGTGCCGGACCTCAACCGCGAGCTCCAGATCTCAGTGCGCACTGCAGTACCAACCGCGAGCTAAAAATCTCATTGGGCGATCCTGCCCGCAACTGCGGGCGCCAGATCTCAATGTCGGACCGCAACCGTGGGCGCCAGATCTGGTACAATGCTACAAATAGAATATCTGATAGAATGGCAAAATAGCCTGATAATTTGCTAGATAGAATTCTAGAAACTAATGTCACATAAAATGCCAAATAGAATGCCAAAATAAAAGCCCGAAACAATGTCAAATTAAATTGCTTGTCAGGATCGAAGATCGCGATATATGTTATTAGCTGTGTCAGGATATACCTACTAAAGAGAAATCTCCGGTTATATGTTTGTCTGGATGCTGGATGAATGTCAGAACCACATGCCTGAACACATGTTAGACTTGGTGTCAGAAGAAATGTGACGCTAAGTGTCAAACTTTATGCTCACAATATGTCAGGATACGGAAGATAAGAAAGGTCAGGGTATGTCAAAATACATGCGAAGATGGTGCGGCTGTTATATCTGAAAGCATGTCGAAATAAAATCGCCAAAGGAAAACAACGATATTCGTCAGAAAGATATGCCAAACAATATTTCAAGACAAAGATCACACTGCACAGCAGGAAATATTTACTCGAATTTAGATGACAAAGGAAATTATGGCAAAAATGTTAGCATATATGTTTGAAGAAATGTCAGGGTATGTCAGGACGGCCGTAAGAAGATATATGTGAGATGTCACATGTAGGGTATTCAAGTGATTTCAAAATACACGGCAGCAAATGTGTGTGGGGATCAAATCGAAGTAAAGAGATGTTCCGAGTAGACTTCCCTGTAAAGCGGCTTTTGGCCAGAAGCTGATTTGGCACAGGTTGTGTCAAGACCTTGGCCGAGAACAGCTTCCTCTCTGCCGATGGCAACTTTGAATTTCGCGCCTGGGATGAGGCCATAGTGGTTCGGGCGATCAGCAAGACAGATCCTCCTGCGTGTGGTTCTTTGGAGCCATGTGGCGGGGATGCGCTCAGCCCCTGGTTGCTATCCATTAGTAAGCTTTGCTTGTTTCTTGCAGCCCTTGCTGGCTAGTTCGTTCTTGCCCCGCCCGAACCTGTCATTCCGAGGTTTCCTCCTTCATCCCTTAGTTACTTCTTTAGCTTTACTTCTATTCTCTTCTTCTGCCCTTGTCACATCACATGCTTCTCCGCTCTGCTTCTAGCTCCAGCACCTGCCCGACCTGCCCGAACTTCCGATATCTTGTCTTTGCTATGCTGTGGAAAAGATATCTAATGATTTCTTTTTCTACAAAAGAATTGTCGAAAGGTATTTATCAGTATATATGTACATAGTATACTCATCTAAGACATGCAAACACCGCCTGATATTTGTATTTACTACACACACTCACACACACATACACACACATATATATATATATAGATTTAAAATCCATACAATGCTGTGCCTCGAGACAACCTGCGCGTTTCCTTCTTTTCTTTTCCAAATAGCAGGAAACACGTACGCGGA